TCTGTACCAGCCTTTTGGCATAGAGCAGCAGTTCTCAACCTATGAGTCACAACCCACAGGAACTGTGTTAAAGGGTCATGGCATTAGGAAGGTTGAGAACCACTGGTGTAGAGGTTAATTGTCAGGCTTTGGCCGGAGACCTGGATTTCCTTGCGGTGGTAACGTCATGGCCTTGGACATGTTACTAAACCTCTTTGTAGTAGTTGTTCCCATGTGCTCAGTACTTACTGGCATAGTATGCGGCCCAAAGAACTTTTAAAGGCTAATTATCATTATTAATGAGCTTGGCAAGTTTTGGTGTGGCAACAGACACCTGAGTATTATATTGAATCAGTACAATAAGTTTATTTATTTATTTATTTATTTATTTTTATTGAATGGTAACGATGTACATTAATGCACTTCTGGGGTACAGTGTGGGGTTTTCATACACAGTCCAAAACATTTCCATTAAACTGGTTAACATAGCCTTTGTGTCATTTTCTTAGTTATTATTTTAAAACGTTCACATTCTGCTCTTAGAAAGATTCACTTGTACCCTTATAAGATAAACCTCAGAAGTGATCCCTCTAATCCCCCTCCCTCCACTCATTTCCCCCTCCCTTCTCCCTCCCCCCTTCCCATATTCTTAGGCTGTTATTAGGTTATAGCTTACATATAGTACAATAAGTTTTGCAGAGTTAAATTCTGGCCTGTCCTTGAGCTCTCATTGGCATGTCAGGGAGGTTTCCATTGTCAGTAGTAATGTGAACAGTAAGTATAGGGGCTTAGAACAGCTGGCATTTATTGAGTAGCCTGTACTCACTGGCTGGGTACTACCGAGAGTGGGTATACAGCTGGGCAATCCCAACACATTATGTAGCCACTCTGTGCCTCTTTCCTGGGTCCCTGTCTCAGACCATTGTGGGAACTGAATGAATCTGTTCCTGTAATATGCTTGGAACAAGGCTTGGCACTGAGCAAGTGCATGCTAGTGAGGCTTCCTGTTTAAAGGTGAGGACACTGAGGTTCTGGGAGGGTGGTGACCGCACAGTCCTGTCCTCACACCTGTCTGACTCCCACCCTAGCTCAGTTGCTGCTTTTGAGCCTACAAGTCAAGCGCGGCCTGTTCTGGCTATTTGGAGATTTCTCGATTTTGTTCAGCAGCCCTGGGCCTTGTGATCCCACATTCTGCAACAGAGGACTCTTGAAAGCCAGAGCGAACAGGCAGGCCCTAACACGGGGTGGGAGTGGAGACAGTGGACTAAAGAAATGGCAAGTCATAGTGCAACCCTGGAGGGGTACGCAGAGGGTTCTGGGGATGCAGGTGAGCAGAAGGAGCCATTACTTCTCCATGTTTGGGGTGAGGTGAGTTGAGAAGTATAAACAAGGATTGAACTTCTGCCTTGGGACTCCCAACAGTCTTGGGAGTGTGTATGGGGAAGAGTTAATAGCATCCTCATTTTATAAATAGGGGAACTGAGGTACAGCTCAGAAACAGCTGCTCTGGGAAGGGTTTCAGGCCTGTCTGCCTTGCCCACCTTCTCCCTGGTCCATGTACTGTGGCGGATAGCGTCAGTGCCTAGCTGAGCTTGGTTACTATGCCAGCATGATTGGGTTAATCACTTTGAATGTCACAGATGACTGTTGGCCACTGGAGTTTGCAGGCCTTTGTCCTATCTCCTCCCAGCCCTGCCCCCACCTCCAGTAAGCCTTACTGCCTTAGTCCCTGAGGGAAACAGTGGCCTCTTGTTTTCTCTGGATTCTGAACTCTAAGCACCACAAAACTGTGTCCAGTATGGGCCTCACAGGATGGCGTGACTTGGAAATGGAGCTCCCACAGACCTCCTCTGGCCACAGTGGGCAACTCTTTCATTGAGACACTCTTGTTGCTGCTGAGAGTGGTGGATCAGACCTTTTCCTCTGAAGAAAACAAGAAGTCCCTGGGAATGTTCTCTTTTCTGGGGGCAGAATGTGATCAGAAAAACAGAATGACAACTCTGAAATGAGGTCACTTATGCCCAGGTCTCTATCCCCAGGCCCTCTGGGAGGTAGTGCCTCTGCAGCACCCACTTCCCCCCTCACTCCCAATTGTCTCCCTATTTCCCCTCCTCTGCAGAGCCCCTCCTCAGGTGTCCCTGATCTCAGCAACTGGGCCCTTTCTGCTGTGATGGCCTTGAGGCCTCCTGTGGGAACCATACTTGAGGCCTGTCTTCTTTAGAGCCAAGGGGGAGAGACTGAAGCCCCGTTGAGGCAAGTTTAGGGGGCACAGGCCCCTTCAGGATGGCAAAACTGTCTGGCCACTGAGGAAAAGTGGTATCAGAAGAGCCTTTAGAGCCACTGGCAGACCCATTTGCACCCAGCGCAGATGCTGCAGTGAGGGGTGGTTGTGCCCGAGAGCAGCTGGGCCTCATGTATACCCAGTCCGCTGTGCTCACGAAAGGGTTTTACTGGCATAAAAATGCTGGAGAATACACAAAGGAAGGTGGCCTGTTTCCAGAGCTCAACTGTTTACCTTCAGCAGAGCAGCTGGGGATATGCAGAGCTTATTTTCCAAACAGCCCTTGGTTGTCAGGTCTGCAGGCCTCAGGCTAGCGTCAGGTGAGGACATAAGGGTCATGCCCTCTGCTTACATCCTTCTCCAATCTGAAGGGGTCCCCTGGCCCCTTGGGCCAATTTCTGACCCGCTCATGGTAGGGAGATCTGGAGGGCTCTCAACAGATGTGGGTGTGGCAGGGTACTTTAATCCTGTGACCCAGTTCCCTCCCTTTGTGGCTGTCTTGGTCTGAAAACATTGGCCTCTTGTTTGTGGTACCTGTAACAGGAGCTGCGGCTTTCAGCAGGCGCAGCTGATGTCTGAGGCTTCCTTTGGGAGCCTGCTGTGTCACCCCTTCCTGTGGCTTCTCTCCCTTCCTTCCAAGTTGAGCCTTTTCTGGGAGGAAGGCTTGGATGAGAATGTAATACAGAGTCTACAAATAGAGCCAGAGAGGCCTTTGCAGTTTCTTCTTTTTACTAGAAGGGAAACTGAGGCTCTAGGAAATGATGAACCCAGGTCAGCTGGTAGCTCAGCAGGGGACTGACATGTAGGCCTTGCTGCATGGCCTCTGTCTGGGTCCCTTTGATCACCCACAAAGGCACAGCCTCACTTGGTCATTTTCCTTCCTTGCTGTCAGTGTTCTGGTCAGTGAAGGGGAAGGGTCACCCCAGCTCCTGGACCTGCTGGGAGGAGCAGCAGGGGCTCAAGTCTTGAGAAACTCTTGCAGTTGTCCTTCCCTGTCCTTGTCCATGAGCCCAGGAGGTGGGCAGCTTCCCAGCTGGTCTGGTTCTGGGTTGGGTGGGTTTGATTTTGTACACAGGCTCGTCGCCTTGGTGGGAGAGGAGCTATGTGCTTTATAGTATGTTCCTATTGTGAGATCTAAGGGATTTGTTTTTTCCTATAGAGGGGAAATCCCTTAACATCTTCCCTGGCAGATGATGAGAAAGAGAATTTAAGGATATTGGGACAGTGCTGGCATGTTCCAGAGACTTAACTGGAAGAGTTTAATGAGAAACTATGCAGGGTATAGGCAGCGCCTGAGGAGCCAGCAAGAGACAAAAGTACCCCAGTGCCAGCAAGTGTGGCAAGCTGTCACCACCCACAGGCCTGGGAGGACAAGGGGGCCGAAAATGTAACTGGAGCTGTAGAGGTGGCAGGACGGGATGCTGAGACTGGTGGGAACGCACATCCTGCCCTCTCTCCTCCCCTCCCACCTGCTGGGGCCTCCACTTGGCCTGATTTAGTCGGTGACAAGGCAGCTGGTGATATAGCCCTAGAAGGCAGCCTCCCCGGCAGAGGAGAGGAGGTGGGCAGGGAGGGGCTGGATGACAGGCAAAGCTCTGGGTCCGAGTCTGCATCTTAGCTCTACCACTTTCCCTCTGTGAGATCCTAGGCAGGTATTAAAAGTCACCAGTTCTCCACTTTCCTCATTTGTAAAATCACCTCCTGTGGTGGTGGTTAAATAAAATGAAACAACCACATGTAAGCTTTGAGTGCAGTGCCTCCTTCAACAGTCATTCATAGCTGCCATGATGATGTCTTCAGTAACAACTTTGAAACAGCATTGAATCCTAGAGGGAGCCTCACTTGGAGAAGGTGGGGCTCGAGGCCGCCTCCTGCCTCTCCTGAGGCTGTAGCAGGGGGTCAGCCAGGTGCCAGGCTGGCGCCACTGCCTCTGAGGGACTGGCCTGGCAGGTGGTGGCGGCCGTGTGCCGGGCGGCAGACATCTGGTGGGTCAGGAAGCATGGTGTCAGGCTGCCCCGGCTGTTGGCAGGTGCTCCTGTCTGGGGGTCAGGTGATGTCGATTGTGTGTCAGCTGGAGGCTCTGGCTCCCTTGCCGCCTGATCTTCTCAACCTCGTGCTCTTGAAAAAATAAACACATTCCCCATTGGAGCAGGGGAGCAGGCTTAGCAGATCACAGTCAGTCCCATGCTGGGCCTTCCCTGATGAGCCCAGGTTTCTGTGAAGTGCAAACTGCTGGTCTCTTGAAGCAGCACTCCTAGATTCACCAGCACCACAGCTTTGAAGAGACTTTCAGTAGTTTAGTGGAGAGAGTATCTGCACAGATCTCAGTTCTGATCGCCTGTGTGGCCTTAGTTGTTTAATGTAACTTCTCTGAGTCCTAAGTTGTAGGGCACTAAATCCTTTCCCTATAAAGCCATTTCTCAGCATCATCTGTATGACCTGTACTTTGTCACTTTGACTCCTCTTGTATCTTCTGTGTCCTGGGTGGCATGGGGCTTGGGGAACAGGAGTATAAACCTGGGGCCTGCTCCGGGGGAGTTATAGGAGAGACGTTGTAAGGTCTGAGGGGCTCATCCTCTTTGTTCTGTGTTTCCCCATGAACGTCAGCCTCCTGTCTCCCACAGTGCTGCGTGGAGGACAGGAGTGGGTCCTTTGACAATGTACCAGGGTAGATAGTAGATTGGGGGCAGTAAGCTCAGGCACTGAAGTTGATGCTTTTGTCTTTGTTCCTGCCTGGCAGCTGAATCTTAGCCGGCCGATCGAGGAGCAGGGTCCCCTGGACGTCATCATCCACAAGCTGACCGATGTCATTCTTGAAGCTGACCAGAATGACAGCCAGTCCCTGGAGCTGGTGCACAGGTTCCAGGTGAGTGGGGATGGCTTGCCCCTCAGCCATGGGACCCGTAGTGGGCAGAGAGCAGGCCCAGGAATGGCTGTGTGCATTTTGGGGCTGTAGCAGCTGTCTCAAAGTATAAGCCATGATGTGGGCTCATGTGCATGGCCTCAGTCACCATGGGTGACATCCCCTGATGTCCCAGCTGTGTAGATGTTGTTCCCTGCTCAAGGCACTGCTCAGTCCCATCAGGATGGCATGGGGACTGGGCTGTTGCTGGTCTCTGTGTCCTCAGCACAGCCACAGACAGCCCTGCCCCATGACTCTGAGTTGGCTCAAGGCATAAGAAAGAACCCTTTTGATGGCTTGGAGAAGGAGGACCCCCAAGGAGCTTTGAATTGAGTCCTGCCTTTGTGGGTCCCCCACCCCTGGCTCATTAGCCCAAACCTCGTGTGTGTGTGTTTTCATCCCTTCACTGTGCCGCCTCTTGCCCACTTTCCAGTAGCCTCCCAGGTCCTGACCCCGAGGTGACCTGCCTGCTGCCTTGGGGTTTTCTCATCAGCTGCTGACTAGGCCTGTGTTTTCTCTGTTGTGGACAAGGACGTGATTCTTTCCTCTAGAAAGTGGCTCGAAGGTCATGAAAAACAAAGTCATATTATCAGTGAAAATGCAGCTGAAGTAGTGGCTGTTCTCAGGCCTGCCTGGTGGATGGGGGCTGCTTGAGCAGCATTTTTATGTGTATGATAATTGCAGAGTTGATGTCCTGATTTTCTTTCTTTCTTTTTTTCCCCTTGAGACAATCTTACTTTGTTGCCCTCGGTAGAGTGCCATGGCGTCATAGCTCACAGCAACCTCAAACTCTTGGACTTAAGTGATTTCAATTCTCTTGCCTCAGCCTCCCAAGTAGCTGAGAGTATAGACGCCTGCCACACGCCTGGCTATTTTTAGAAATGGTGTCTCACTCTGGCTCAAGCTGGTCTTAAACCTGTGAGCTCAGACAATCTACTCTCCTTGGCCTCCCAGAGTGCCAGGATTACAGGCATGAGCCACTGTGCCTGGCCCTGATTTTCTTTGTATGAACAAAGGGGCGCTCCTCCTCCTGGTCTCACAGGGGTATCCCACTGATGTGTTTTCCTCACATGTTGGGGTCAACGACCTGGCTTCCCACACTTCAGGTTTCCACCCCCTTGCTTAGCCAACTCCCTGCTGTAGGTCCCTTCTTCCCACTGGGAAGTGGCCCCAGAGGCAGGTGCAGCCTACTCATGGCCCCCCACCCCCCATATTGTGCCCTCTGGGTCCTCTGCCCTGCCAGTGGCTTGAAGCCCCATCCACTCACGGATGGTGTCTGCTTCTCTAAGGCTAGAGGCCAGGCTCCTCTGTGGCCTCGTGGAGCCTCAGTTTTCTTATTTGTAGATGCTGGTAATAGGAAAACCTCAGATCAGGTTGGAAGGTGTAAGCTGGGGATGAAACAGGAAACGCACCCCTGTTGAGCCCCTGCCCTGAGCCAGGGCTGGGCTGGGTTGATAAACATTCACCCATGGGCATGAGGTGTTATGTCCCCACAACTCCTAAGGCCAGGACTTGGAAACTAAGGCCTGGAAGCTTATCTACAGGGATCCACAGAGCCTGGGTTTAGTCTTGACTTTCTTGGGCAGCCTGCTATTCGTTCTTCCAAGGGCTAGCTCTTCTGTCTTCTTTCAGGCCCCTGCTTACGTCAGTGTCTTGGGGTGCATTCCCAGCTGATCACAAGTGGAACAGCTACTTTCCCACCCTGAGCTCTCTATGACTACCTCAGCACTGACTCCCTGTCTCTTCCTGGAGGCCTCCAGGTGCCTGAGGGGCCCTCGGGAACATTGTCTGGAGAGCATAACCAAGTCTGAATGATGTATCTCCTGCTGAGCCCAGCCAGGGGCAGGTGGCCTTGCAGACACAATTGTTGGCTGAATGTGGAAGGCCAGGTAATGTGCAGTTATAGCAACAACTATTATTACAATAGCAGAGATGTTTGCACAGTGGATTTTTTTTTTTTTTTTTTGGAGACAGAGTCTCACTGTGTTGCCCTCAGTAGGCTTAAATGATTTTCTTGCCTCAGCCTCCCAAATAGCCTGGGACTACAGGCACCTGCCCGGCTATATTTTTGTTGCACTTGTCGTTGGTTAGCTGGCCTAGGCTGGGTTTAAACCCACCAGCCTTGGTGCATGTGACCCTGCAGAGCAGTTTCTATGAACCAGGCCCTGCTAGAAAGCACAGTATAAATGTTGACTCACTTGCCCCTATGAGCAATAAGGTATGATTATTCTCGTTATGAGGTAACAGGTGCAGGCAGGTGGCAGCCTGCTCAGGCTCAACTTGACAGTGGTTGAGGTGGATCTGAACCTGTGAGAGGTTGTTTTCACCCACCTGATGGATGAGGCAGAGGACTTGGAGGCAAACTGCCTGGGAGGCAGAGCTCCTTCCAAAACCGAGGAGCCACGTGATCCCTCCTAAACTGTAGTGTTCTTCTGTTATGATGAGGGTGCTGGCAGTTCTTTCCTCCTCAGGTGGGCACATTGCTGGGACGAGTAAATGTAAAAATGCTCCTGTGTTTGCTGAGTGCCTCCAGCCACTCCTGCTGCATCCTTCATCACACCCACACTGTTACTTCTGTTTCTACCATCTTGCCAGAGAAAGGACCACAGTTCCCAGCTAGCCTGATCCAGGCATTGTGGAACCCCAGAGGAGGATGAGTCCCATCCTCCCATTCCCCACAGAGACATACACAGAGCCCACAGCCCAGGGCAGGTAAAGGCTGAATGTGAGTGAGAGCTCTGTCCTCTGTGTTCCTGTTCTGGGTGAAAAAAATGTTAACAGAGAGGGAGCTTGTGTCAGGGGAGCTGGGGATATGTGACTTGAGGCTGCTTGCCAAGGGCAGGATCTTGACTTGTCCCTGAGTCTGTCCCAACCCTACAGCTTGCCCTCAGTCAGGGACAGGGAGGGGTATGGGCTGCAGTGACCTCACAACAACCTTCAAGCATGAGTATTTTCTGGGATAAATTTTCACTGCAGCCTGTGCTTTAGTAAGAGGCTGGATATCTGATAAGGCCAGGAAGTTTCCTCCTTTGTGAAGAGAACAATCCATTGGAATAAAGGGTGCCAATCTGTGCTTTCTGGAGGCCCCAGGAAGAGAGGAGATAGGCAAGGGGTGGTGTAGAGAAGAACCAATACATGCAGAAGTGAGGGATACCAGGATGAGGGCTGAGAAGAGGCTCCTGCCACCAGGCCTGGTGCTGCTAGCACCAACTGGCCAATGCCGCTGGCTGCCCCCACCCTCTATAACAGTGCTTCTTAACCTTCCTAATGCCATGACCCTTTAATACAGTTCCTGTGGGTCATGACCCACAGGTTGAGAACCACTGCTCTATAAGGTGGCGGAGACGCAAGCTCAGAGCCAGTCCACACAGACCCAGGGAGGCTGTATACCTGATTTCGGTCATGCCTTTAAAGGTCTTCAAATTCTCATATTTTTATTCTCCAGACATTAGTGAGAAGGCATGGGTGTGGCCCAGGGACTGGGTGCTGCAGCCAGAGACAGGAGGCAGATCCCAGATACTGGGTTTGTGGATCTTTTTTTTTTTTTTTTGAGACAGAATCTTACCATATTGCCCCTAATAGAGTGCTGTGATGTCACAGCTCACTGCAACCTCCAACTCTTGGACTTAAGTGATTCTCTTGCTTCAGCCTCCCAAGTAGCTGGGCCTACAGGCACCTGCCTCAGCACCTAGCCATTTCTAAGTCATTGTTGTTTAGCTGTCCTGGGCTAGCTACCCGCCGCCTTCGGTGTATATGAGCAGTGCCGTAACCATTGTGCTATGGATGCCGAGTGAGTTTGTACATCTTGGTTCACACATCTTGTTGTGAGCAGTGGAGCAGAAGTGAGCTTGTTGGGCCCAAAAGGGCCTCTGCCTGAAGGGCCTTGTCCAAAGGCAATGCTGAAGGAAGTGTTTGGGGACCGTGGGTGGAGAAAGATGAGTTTCTGAGATATTCCTGACAGCCCTAAAGCACTGGCTGTGGGCTGCTTCTATTAAATCTCTGGTCCCCAGAGAAGATGGGAATTCCCAGTGCCAGAAGCTGTGCTTTCTTCTTTTTCCCCCGTGGGAGGGTGTGGGCCTGGGGTTTATTGCAAAATGTTAAAATCGGTTGTCATAGAAACCTTCACTTACCCCCAAGTTTGTTTTGTGGGTTTTTTTTTTGTTTTGCTTTGGCTTTTTTGTTGGATCAGCCTCAGAACTGCTTGGCTTGGAGACTCAGTTGGGATGATTTGTTGTTTCAGCCTGGTGCCACTGTGGCTCTGCCTGAGATTTGGTTATCAGTGCACAGGCCCTGCCCACGTGGGCAAGTGGGCTGGTGTGGTAGAAGGAGGTGCTCAAGGCCTCCAGGGCCCTCCAGCCTGTTGATGGCTTTCTTAGGAAAGCAGTTTGCTTGAGCCTTGTTCCTTGCACTTGTTAGGTGTGGTCATGTATTTGGAGGGGTGTCCCTCCTATTCTCTTGCCTTTCCAGCTCCAGAATTGCCCCAGAAGGGTTACAGTGATAGTGATCCATGGGGCATGTGGAGCTGCCAGTGGATTTTCCCTGAGTGAGCTTCGAACTAAGGTTTCAGCCTGCGCTGAATTTGATTAGTCAGAAGGATCATACTTGTCCTCCAGATGTTCTCTGTGCGCGCCCCCCACCCCGACCAGTTTGCACACATTGTACAAGGACAGCTTTCTCTGCAGCAGCACACTGTTTGCTGAGCCCCATGCCCGTGAGCTCCTAGCCAGCAGGGGAGGCCAGCAGGCAAAGCCCTGAGTTGCCTTCACAGCCCTTAGAGTGATGAGTTAGGAAAAACACAGTCCTGATCACAGCAAGGCCCAGCCTAAAATGATCCCATGATTTCTCATTGTGGTGACACTGAAGACTTATATTGTTAACATGGCCCATAGAGCCCAAGTGATCTGCCCCGCATGCCCCTTCCCTGCCACCCCACTCCTCCCCCCACAGCAGCTGCTCAGACGCTG